GGCACAAATGAATGTACATTTTCTGTTAATGAACAGCAAAAGGTGTAATAAATTATTATTCGCTCTTTCATTTTTTGTGATTTAATAGTGTTTATTCATTTGCTTACTAGCTTATTTTATATTTCAACAAGATGTAAAAATAATTAATTGGGTTGTCGTAAGATTATATCTGATTCAGGAACAGTTCGCTGGGTAGAACAGTTGATTATGGCAATTGTTTGGACTTTGTCCACTGACCGCCGTGCATTGCTAAGTCATTATACCGATACTGGTTGGAATCCGCTGAACACCTGTCACTGCCTGGAAACAATTCGATCGCTCCTCTGCCAGTACCTACGGCCAGAATGTTTTGCAGCGTTTCCACAGTTACTTGGTTCAAGGTAGGATTAAGTTGAACGTTGTTTCCAATCGCTGCAAATCCCCCAGCGATGCCGCCATTTTGTTGAATACAGCAGCCAGCCGTCCACATGGAATTAGGGATGGCTATGTTTCGCCCATTGTTTGGGTTATTGTTAGGGAAATATTTTAGCGGTTGCTGTAGCGCCGGTTGCCCTGGTGTGTATACAGCTTCCGAGGTTCCTGTCAACAGATAAAGGTCACCACCGTACTGGCGGCACACGCCCCCAAATTTCCTCACTTTGTCTTCATATCTACTCCACGGGCCACTGTTGAATGCGGCATATTGTGGCACAGCGTTGGTATACCTGAACGTAGACACCATTGCAATACAGTCGTAGGAGTAGGTCTGTGCTGGTACCAAGTGGCCTTTATGAATGTGTTGATTGTTGTGACTATACATTTGGTCACTCCCCTGCCGTAAGTGGCTGATGTCTATAAGATTCAAGGTAAAACAAATGTCTTTTATCAGTACTCGAGCAGCATAAAAGCAGTAGATATATATCAGCTAACCTAGAGGGTGCGTGCGCATCTCTCCCTTAGATCCGCCATCAATCTCGTACCCAGAGCCTGCGTTTCTTCTGGCCTGCGGCGAAGAACGAGGGCTCTGGCATAATCTATTTTTTGACGCATGCGCAGTTTTCGGGAAGTTAAAATTTAATTATTGAAAATCATGCTTTCAAACAGAATTCTGTGCTTACTTCCGATCCGAAATAAGAATTAGAAATTGGGAACATATTTTTTTATTTTTGGCAAGTCTTTTAACGTAAGCGCACTTATACCGGAGGTCCAAGAAATCCTGGTCTCACAAAATGGATTACGCCAGAGCCCAGGAGAAACGCAGGCTCTGTGTACGAGATTGATCCGCCATTACAAAGGGGGTTACACGTCAGATAATTCTATTCCAAAAGGAGGGACAGACAGACAGAAAGGATGGGCAAGCAAGAACATGAGGAAATACAGATAGGCAGAAAGAAATATAGACAGACAAATAATGTTAAAGAAAAGCCTGTATACGGACCTGGATCCTGAAGCCATTTCGATATCCTGGGGAAAGTCCCGATTAATGGCGCCTGGTCATGTGGTACAACGTATGCAGCGTAGACAGCGATTCCAGTATGTTGATCAAACATCGTCGCATAGTAGGTTTCATCGTTAAACGCTTCAAATTGTTGACATATGTATTTTATGTTTGGATTACCATTCGGTCTCAAGCCAGTTGGTAGTTCCCCTTGTAAGAAGAATTGTCTGTAGCAATGATGTGTTGGCTGTACTATAGTCCTACGACTTCTAATCAAGGAGTACTGATGGTTCAGTCCAGTGGTGTTGGCGCCTAATCCAGCTGAAGTATCATCCCCTATTTAAAAGACAGATAAAAGATAGCTTAGATCATGTTTTTGAGGATGTCCTTTTACATGCTTTTATTAACAGTAAGTGCTGCAAAACCATTACTTTTAGACAATTCAAGCGATGCTTCTGCAAACAAAGAATGGTGGTAAGGACAACTCTAAAGTCATCCGCTATAAGTTATACAATGATAATGATAATAATAATAATAATAATAATAATAAATAATAATAATAATAAATAATAATAAAAATAAATAACTTTTTGGACATCTAT